GAAAACAGTTAAAGGGTTAAACCGAGTATAGGTTACTGGCCGTCTTCTTGTCACCAATGTCGAGGTTGGGAGACTACTCTCTCCCATCTTCACATTGGCCATACTCGTCTTACTCATGGTTATCTCATGGAGAGGCGCCCTGCTCCTCTCTGTGAGAATTGTCAGGTTCCATTATCGGTTAGGCACATTCTATTAGACTGCCCACTTTATCAACGAGCACCCAGAATATACCTCCAACGTCGTCTTCGCTCTGCTGCTCTCTCTTTACCTTCCCTTCTTGCTGATGAACCCACCTTTCATCCGGACTCTCTCATTGGCTTTTTGACAACAACTGACTTACTTCACAAACTCTGATGATACCTTCAGCCCTTTCTACCTCAATCTCTTGCTACCCTCTACCCCAGCACTATCCCCTGAACCGCTGTTTTCTGTAACCTACTGATCATCCCTCCCCCCTTCTATCGCTCAATACTCTCGCTTCCTTCCCTACCCTGCAGCGCTGCATAGCCCTTGTGGTTTAGCTCTTCTTTTTTATTATAATAATAATAATTTTGAAATTTGTGTGAAATTGGAAAAATTGCTAAATTATGACCACTGTATTGGATAGTTGAAATCAGTAAATGGGTGGTTTCTTGTACTCATTCGATAGAAAAAATCAAGTTCTAGCGAAATAGTTATGGTTTTTGTCGACAAGTACACTGGAATTGGCCGAAAATAGGGCTCAAATTGGGCAAAATCGCCGATGCGTAAACATAGTCGAGACCACTAACTTCATGAGAGCATAATTCCGTAAGTTTTCCATCAAATTTCATACTTTTGGTGTCATTATGATCGGGAAAAGATTCTCTATCTTTTCATAAGAAAAAATAATTTTGTTTTTTGAAATTTGGCTGACCCTAAGAACAAGTCTCTGAGAGGGCCGGTTGAACCTGAAAGGGTTAAGTTCCTTCAGTGTCAGTGATTGAGCTATGGTAAAATCCTTTAATATTCCTCGTGGAGAAAGTCCAATTCTGGTTTTTTCCCTAACACCCCCTTTCCCTATCCTTCTGTGCCTGAAGGCTCATGTCTGCTACAAATTCACTTTAACTTTTAATTACATTTGCATGCTATGGAAGGATACATCACTAGTTCAAATTCCCAGATGAGGTCAGATAAATGACCATTTTCCTCAGAGTAATTCAAGGTTATTTACAAAAGTTGGCCAGTACTTACCACAGAGCTATATGCTCTTCTAGCTGCCATCATAATCATAGTAACCATGTCCATCTGCTCATTCATTGATGTTTCAGACTTTAAATTGTGCTATTCTGCATCTCATCATGCTCTACACATAGCAATAGTTGTGTTGAAATTCCAGCAGCTGTAAAGAAGCTCTTTTTGCTGGGTCCCTGGACATTATATTCATGGCAGTTTACATGCAGACTCAGCTGCTAGATTTGCTACACACAACCTACTAATCTTGGCCTATTTTTTAGTACATTATTATTACTTTTATGGGGGAGAGCCAAAGCATTGAGACTCGATTCATGGAATTACAGCAGAGTTCCAATTTCTTAGATCAAGAGCCCCCTCACCATCATACAGAAACCTTCCTGGAGGGGATTTTTCAGTACAGTACTCTCTCAGTGAAAGATGCTACTGGTAACAATGTTGATCTGGGTTTGTGACCAACCAACTGGATTTTTCCAATCACAAATGGGTTCCTGGAACTTTTCTTTCCATCACTGTTGGGTACGGAAAACAGTGGACACGCATGACTCACACATGAATATCTTATAGAGATGCCCAGCACTTCTCTGCAGGGACTGCCACACCCGTGCTATTAATTCACTGCACAGTGTGCCCTATCAGTCAATATAAAGAATTTAGTTTAAACATCTGCGATACCCTGACTGACTTACTTTACCTTCCTTCTTTGCTTAAAAATTGTACCTTTAACACTAACTCACAATGACTTTTAAATGGGAAATAATCTATTACACCAAACTATGACTTATTTGAAACTCATACTAACCTTAACTTCACTAACCCCTACCACTGACACTCTCCAATACAGTGATATAAACAGTGGACACCCGACTTACAAACAACTCCCAACTCGAACAATTATGTAAGTGTATTTTTGTAAGTGCTTTTATAAGTGTATTTTTGGGGGTCTGAAACTGACTAATCTAATTTACAATATTCCTTATGGGGAGCAAATTCGTTCGGTAACGGCACCCGAACAGCCTTCTGGAACGAATTAATATCGTAAGTCGGGGGTCCACTGTAATCCATATGAGTTTAAGCTTTTTTTAATGTAAGAATATAGAGGTGTGATGAAGCACCAACAGTACGACACTGATTGCAAAGGAGTCTTTATTGGAACACTATTTCATCAGAGTGGCTTGATCAAGTAGACAAAATTCAACAGAAAAATCACATAGTACATCCAGCCCAGGCTTTCATGCGCTGAATTGATAAGGTCCAAGAAGTCAGGTGCTGAGTGGGTGGAGTCCAAAAAAGTCAGTTCAGTGAGTGAGATCTGAGAAGTGTGCCAGCACTGAAACAAACCTACTGGCACAGGCTAGGCTTGTTCCTCTCTTCTTAATACAATGTGAGTTATTGGTGTACACCAATTAACATACTACTATTTTGCTGAATTGCTTTAATAAGTTCAGTGGAAGAGGATTATCAAAAATATTTTATCCTGTCATTTTCATAATGGCATGTGACAGGGTGGATAGGGGAGCAATGTGGCAGATGTTACAGATGTATGGAATAGGAGGTAGGTTACTGAAAGCAATGAAGAGTTTTTATGAGGATAGTGAGGCTCAGGTTAGAGTATGTAGGAGAGAGGGAGATTATTTCCCAGTAAAAGTAGGCCTTAGACAAGGATATGTAATGTCGGGTGAATGCTTGGGTGTTGGCAAGAAGTGTGGGGTTAAAAGATAAAGAATCTAACACATAGTAGGAGTTGTCACAGTTGCTATTTGCTGAAGACACTGTGCTTCTGGGAGATTCTGAAGAGAAGTTGCAGAGGTTGGTGGATGAGTTTGGTAGGATATGTAAAAGAAGAAAATTAAAAATGAATATAGGAAAGAGTAAGGTGATGAGAAAAGCAAAAAAATTAGGTGAGGAAAGACTGATTATCAGATTGGAGGGAGAGAGTACGGAGGAGGTGAATGTATTCAGATATTTAGGAGTGGATGTCAGCAGATGGGTCTATGAAAGATGAGGTGAATCTCAGAATTGATGAGGGGGAAAAGGTGAGTGGTGCACTTAGGAGTCTGTGGAGACAAAGAACTTTGTCCATGGAAGCAAAGAGGGAATGTATGAGAGTATAGTTATACCAACAATCTCATATGGGTGTGAAGCATGTGTGGTGAATATTGCAACAAGGAGAAGGCTGGAGGCAGTGGAGATGTCATGTTTGAGAGCAATGTGTGGTATGAATATAATGCAGAGAATTCATAGTTTGGAAATTAGTAGGTGTGGGATTACCAAAACTATTATCCAGGGGGCTGAGGAGGGTCTGTTGAGGAGGTTCGGACATGTAGAGAGGGTGGAAGGAAATAGAATGACTTCAAGAGTGTATAAATCTGTAGTGGAAGGAAGGCAAGGTAGGCGTCGGCCTAGGAAAGGTTGGAGGGAGGAGGTAAAGGAGGTTATGAGTGTGAGGGGCTTGGACTTCCAGCAAGCATGTGCGAATGTGTTAGATAGGAGCGAATGGAGACAAATAATTTTTAAAACTTGATGTGCTGTTGGAGTCCAGCAAGATGGACTTGATTCCTGGAGATGGGAAGTACAGTGTATGCACTTTGAAGGAGGGGTGTTAATGTGGCAGTTTTATAACTGTAGTGGCTGTATAGCCCTTGTGGCTTAGCGCTTCTTTTTGATTATAATAATAATAATAATATAACTGTAGTGTAAGCACGCCTCTGGCAAAACAATGATGGAGTGAATTATGAAAGTTTTTCTTTTTTGGGCCACCCTGCCTTGGTGGGAGATGGCTGATGTGTTGATAAAAAATAATAAATAATTTTCATAAAATAGTAAGTTTGCCCTATACTACATAGGATTGTTCTAGCCATGCCATGGGCGAGTGCCACAGTGCTGGACACAAGCACTGTGACATCCACTTCCATCTCATGGTAAGGGATTGGGCAACTCGACTATTTTATAAAATGACAAGAGCAGATGCCCTGAATCCTCTTCTCTTAAATGCATTAACACAAAATAGGGTTACTGTTTACTTTGTCCACACCCATAAGACCAGAGGAACAAGCCTAGTGTAAGTGAGTAGGCCTGTTGCAGTGCCGGCGTGCTTCTCGGATCTCAGTGCCCAATAAGCCGGCCTCCATGTACAATACAATATTTTATTTTCCACTGTATTTTATGTACATGATAAAACAGTAGTGGCATCAAGTAATAATAACATTGCTTTAAAACAAGTCTCCTAGCTTCCCTTCCAGCCAGATAGCCATCCCAAAGTCTTCCCCAGTATAGAAATTCTGGCTCTGTTAGTTTATAAAACCAATTTGCAGTGAAATATTGTGACAATAAAGACTCCTATGCAACCAGTGTTGTACTCACAAACAATAGGGTAAAATCCCAAATCTGATCAAGATTTAGCTTACCTTGTATTAAATGTCTTTTAGAAACTTCAGTAAGACCTTGTCCACACTATGCCAAGGTCTGGTGACTGGTGGATCATCATCATCTAGCTTTGCATTTATTTATCAAAGGAGACATGACTCCTTTCAGTGGTCCTAGTGTTTATAGCTAACATATGAATATAAAAATTATTAACTCATGGTGTGAGATTAGACTGTAAACACACACATTTGATGCCACAGTGAGGCCTGTGCTAACTTTCCTAGTGTGTCCAGTCATGAGACTGGCATGGTACAGTGAACAACACATTGGCCAGCTAGCTTTAGCACTGGCTTGACATGGGCTCAAACCTGTTTGGTGAATTATTAACTCATGAAACTAAGGAATAATTAATAAATACCATAGACATTTATCTTAATTCATTGCACCTGTATATTTATTTTGATATTCTCTCTTATTATGTAGCCATATATACAGCATTTAAAAATATAAGTACAGGTATCATCCGACTTACGACCGAGTTCGGTTCCGACCAACAGGTCGTAAGTCGAAATGGACATAAGTCGAACCTTACTACTGAATATCAACATCACACTTTTGTAATGACTTTATTTTATTGTTTTATTTTGGTATTTAATTTCTTACTTTACTTTTTATGCTGTTAGTACTGTGTTTTATATTGTAAGGTTTAGGATAAACACTGTGTACAACACAAACACTTGTTTATTTCCCAGAAATTTGGCATACAAAACACGGTCGTAAGTCGAATGGTCGTATGTCGAGCAGGTTGTAAGTCGGATGGTAGGTGTATTATCTTTGCCTGTAAAAAGTTTTTTGTGTAACTAAAACATATCGAATATTGTACATAAGTTGAATAAAAGGCTAGAAGGTGCAGATGTTTAGTAGTTATGTCTTTATACATGCCATACTTTTCTCCATGAAATAAAGGAGAATTTGTAAAACATGTGGATCACTTATGAGCATTGAGAATGGTAGAGCCTGCAGTCTATGTGGCAGCTGTGAGAGTTGGTCTTGTACCAACTCTGTCGGATACAACACCACATCCAAAGCTGAAAGCACTTGACTTTTAGTAAAGCCTTTTTTCATTAGTGTCATAAGGTTCTGTCTGACACTTATAACTGTTGGGTGTTGTTCCCAAGCCTGGAAATGGAGTGCATCTTTAATTGTGCTTATACTTTCATTCATGTCTGTTGCCAGGCATGTGATAACATCATTCCTGTTATGCTTCTGGTTTCCTACTGTAATATACCTATGAAAATTACTCTCGCTCCCTAACAATGTACTAAGGCTTGGTACAGCATCAGTTTTCTTCACCTTGTGCAAGAACTCCAGGCGAGATGTTACCACCTTGTACCTGAAGAGCAGATGCAACGCACGAGGATGTGAGGACAGGGCATCAAGCACTGGCACCTCTCGAAGAAAGCTGATGCGATCTTGCAGTGTTTTGGGATGTAAATTATGTATCTTTGGTATAGCTCTCAATGCAGCCTGCAAGAAAAAGAGTAATTAGCATGTGTATGCTATCAGATCTCTTCTGTTTCAAAATACTGTACAGTATATAAGGTGAAACAAATGTACTAATCCTGCAGAAGCCAAAGTAGTGTAGCACAGTAATACAGAACTCAGACTAATTTTTTAAATAAAAATTTATTCTGTATAAGATAACTACTACGACTTTCCTCCTTTTTCTTTCATAATCTTCACATCCCTTGAAGAGAGCACCTAAATGCTGCTAAAGGGCTACTGATCCATGGAATTATACCTCCCCTCCCCTTCCTAGGATCAAACCTGAGTGCCTCCAGTTTTCCAAGCACTGTATGCCTTTACAGGTTTAAATGTTGACGAAGATAGGGAAGCTGTGATTTTGTGTATAGGGCAAGGAGGAATAACATCTTGTAGGAGTGAGGAAGAGCCAGTTGTGAGTGTGGGGGAAGTTTGTGAGGCAGTAGGTAAAATGAAAGGGAGTAAGGCAGCAGGGATTGATGGGATAAAGATAGAAATGTTAACAGCAGGTGGAGTGGTTGGTGCTTTTATTTAATAAATGCATAAAGAGGGTAAGCTATCTAGGAACTGGCAAAGAGCATGCATAGTTCTTGGTATAAAGGCAAAGGGGACAAAAGAAATGCAAAAATTATAGGGGAATAAGTCTGTTGAGTATACCTGGTAGAGTGTATGGTAGAGTTATTATTGAAAGAATTAAGAGTAAGACAGAGGAGTAGGATAGCAGATGAACAAGGAGGCTTTAGGGAAGGTAGGGGGTGTGTGGACCAGGTGTTTACAGTGAAACATATAAGTGAACAGTATTTAGATAAGGGTAAAGAGGTTTTTGTGGCATTTATAGATTTGGAAAGGGCATATGACAGGATGGATAGGGCAGCAATGTGGCAGATGTTGCAAATGTATTTAATAGGAGGTAGGTTACTGAAAGCAGTGAAGAGTTTTTACGAGGCTAGTGAGGCTCAGGTTAGAGTATGTAGGAGATAGGGAGATTATTTCCCAGCAAAAGTAGGCCTTAGACAAGGATGTGTGATGTCACCATGATTAGTCAATATATTTATAGATGGGGTTGTAAGAGAAGTGAATGCTCAGGTGTTGGCAAGAGATGTGGGGTTAAAAGATAAAGAATCTAACACAAAGTGGGAGTTGTCACAGTTGCTATTTGCTGAAGATTCTAAAGAGAAGTTGCAGAGGTTGGTGGATGGGTTTGGTAGGGTATGTAAAAGAAGAAAATTACAAGTGAATATAGGAAAGAGAAAGGTCATGAGAATAAAAAAATTAGGTGATGAAAGACTAGATATCAGATTGGAGGGAGAGAGTATGGAGGAGGTGAATGTATTCAGATATTTAGGAGTGGATGTGTCAGCAAATGGGTCTATGAAAGATGAGGTGAATCATAGAATTGATGAGGGGAAAAAGGAGTATGCAGAGACAAAGAACTTTGTCCATGGAAGCAAAGAGGGGAATGTATGAGAGTATAGTTATACCAATATGGGTGTGAGCATGGGTGATGAATGTTGCAACAAGGAAAAGGCTAGAGGCAGTGGAGATGTCATGTCTGAGGGCAATGTGTGGTGTGAACATAATGTAGAGAATTCATAGTTTGGAAATCAGGTGGAGGTGCAGGATTACCAAAACTATTATCCAGAGGGCTGAGGAGGGTTTGTTGGTGAGGTGGTTCAGACATGTAGAGAGGGTGGAAGGAAATAGAATGTCTTCCAGAGTGTATAAATCAGTAGTGGAGGGAAGGCAAGGTAGGGGTCGGCCTAGGAAAGGTTGGAGGGAGGGGGTAAAGGAGGTTTTGTGTGTGAGGGGCTTGGACTTCCAGCAAGTATGCATGAGCATGTTATATAGAAGCAAATGGAGACAAATGGATTTTAGGACTTGATGTGCTGTTGAAGTATGAGCAAGGTGACATCCATGAAAGGATTCAGGGAAACTGGCAGGCCGGATTTGAGTCCAGGAGATGGGAAGTAGTGTCTACACTCTGAAGGATGGGCTCCTCCCCAGCATCAAGGAACCTCCCTTCAACAGCTAAAAGAGTTGTAACATTAAAAATAGCTGAAAAAGTTTACGTGATTAATTAGCTCGATCACATTTACTGGTGCTCCATGTATTCTCTGGAAAATAATATTTTACTATAATGGCAAAAACTACTATTCTAACCTTTCTAACCAGGCAATGGCTATTAAAATTTTAGTGAATAATTTTGTAATTTGAAACTAATCTGCACAGTACATGCATGGAATCTTTAACTTCCAGGTATGACAGTTTAACCCTTTCAGTGTTGGTCCTGTTATAGCATGGCTTTGAAGCCAGTGTCGGTCCTGCAGCATGACGCCATGAGCTCACCTCACTCAGATAAGCTGTGAGCAGTAAATTTGGGCCTAGATATGAGAGAATGGCTCTATGTGATAAGTGTGCACCATAAAAAAAAAGTCCTGCAGCATGCAGTGCATAAGGGGAAAAAAAAACTGTGACTGTTTTTTGTTTAACCCTTTGAGGGTTGAGACCCTCGATCTTGAACTCCCACTCAGGGTCAAAAAATTTTCAAAAAAAAAAAAAAAAAGACATTTTCTTATGAAATGATAGAGAATCTTCTCCCAACAGTAATGACACCAAAAGTATGAAATTTGATGGAAAACTTACGGAATTATGCTCTCATGAAGTTAGTGGTCTCGACGATATTTATGCATCTGCAATTTCGTCCACTTTGAGCCCTATTTTCGGCCAATTCCAATGTTCCAGTCAACTAAGATCATAGCTATTTTGCTAGAACTCCATTTGTTCTATCAATTGAGTACAAGAAACCACCTATTTACGGATTTCAACTACCCAATAAAATGGTCAGAAATTGGCAATTTGGCCAATTTCACACAAATTTCAAAAGATGCCAATTTCAAAATAGGGTCCAGAATAAACAAGACAGCCATTCCTGACATTTTCTCTGTTCATTAGTCACATCTCCAGGCCCCTTTCATATTACTCTCGCTTTCCATTATGATTTTTTTTCTCACAAAAAATTGACGATTTAATGTTATGCAGTCCACTGTACTATTGTAAAAATGGTATAAATAATATCAGCACACTTGTGAAAGAATATCAGACTCACCAGTTGACTTGTATTGGATTCGTGGTGTGATTTGTTTACTCTTGAACTTCGGCCAAAATCGAACATTTTCACTAATTTGAGCTCAATTTCAAGGCACTTTTCATCATGAAACCAATCAAAATCATCTCTATTTCTGTAATATGTCTTCCATTCTATCAAATGAGACCAAGAAAACGAGAATACAACCATAAATACCATACAAAAATACACTGCAAGGTCGCTGTTTTAAACCAAAAACACAGTCGGAGTTTTTTTTTTCTCATTATGCACTGCGTGCTGCAGGATTTTTTTTATACTGCACACACTGACAGCGAAGACCCATTCTTTCATATGTAGGCCTACCAGCTTTCTTCCACTAGATTTAAAGGTGCTAGAAGTTTGGTGTACAAGTCTGTGACTGATAATGGCTGTTAAGATGTACATGTATGTGACCAACCATCAAAGGGTTAAAGAACGACTCTGCGGCGTATTTTCATTTGGGTTTTATGGCTGTATTCTCAGTGTCTTGGTCTCATTTGACAGAATGAAAGGTATATTACAGAGATAGAGATGATTTTGATTAGTTGACAGTGGACCCTTGGTTTTTGTGAATCTCAGTTTTTGTGAATTTTGGTTATTGCCAACTTTTTTCATCAAAATAAAGCCATGGTTTTCGTGATTTTCCTTGGATTTTGGCGGTTGTATGGTACGTGTCCCAGTGGCCCCATACACACAAAGCCTCCCATAGACACATTCAAGAACCAGTCTGGCATTGTTTCTCGGCGAGTGAGCATCACCCCCACGTTCATATGAAACATTTCATTACAATCCAATTTCTTTTGTGGGGGTTGGAGTGCATAGCCCGGGCCCCAAAAACC